ATATCCATCTATTATTGTAACCATGAATATTCACGTGCAAATATTCATGAATATAAACGAATCAATTATATAATTACAAACCCTTGACTATTCATGAATTTTGTGTAACCGGATATGGAATATCTGTTTCCAACCGTGAATATTCATGGATCCGACCTCTATACCCGAGTCTGTTACATTCCACCAATTTTTAAACCATATAGTAGATCTCGTGTCAAAAAATATAAAGTGTATTTACAATAGGTAGTCTAACTACAGTATGAGAGAAGATATCTTGACAACAACTTGACTAAATTCGATAAAAAATTTTTTTGAATACTATCAATCTGTAAAATCAAAAAAAAAAAAAAAAAATTCATCAAATTTGATCAGGTTATTGTTGAGATATCTTCGCTCAAAGTTTTAAAAATAATTCGACGTAGCTTCTATTTACGGTTTGAAATTTTTTCGCGAAGTTATCTTGGCGACCACTTGATCAAATTCAACAAAAAATTTTTATTTGAGTTCTAAGATTCATAAAATCCAAATAAAAAATTTCATAGAATTTAGTTAGGTAGTTGGTTAGATATTTTCGCTCAATGTTTTAAAATTTTATTGGATTTCGGAGTCAGATCGCTGTCCTGTTTGTTTCAAGGGAAGTGTCTAGTAAATATTGTGATTATAAAAGAGTGCTACCAAGTGAAAACCATGAATTATAAATTTTAAATCACTATTTATTCCTGGTTTTCACTTTATTGCATTCTAATAGACATTTAGATTAAATCTGCTTCAAATATTGAATTTACATATAATTATACAGTAATACATAAATAAATATATAAACCAACGCTTGCCATATATAAGTCGCATTACTCTAATAACAACAATGTCAACAGCCATATCCTATTTTGACATTAGGGAAATAGCCTACTGATTGAGCTCAGCCTTTTTAACCCTACAGATTTGCCTGTCATTGACTTTCAATTGGTTTTGCATGTTTCATCTTTTGTTATTTCTGATTTTAGGTTTCACTGTTTAGATTTCACTTTTCGTTACCAGATTTCACATAGCAACCATAAGATAGAACAAACAATTCTATTCGGCAAAAATCAATTGCTATTTCTAATAAATAAAAGGACTACTTGCAGTTTGGTTAATAATTAATAGTGTGGGTTTACTCAATAACAAAACTTCATAATTAAATAGCGCATCTACTTCGCTACATGAAATTAAAATCAAAAGGTGAAATATGTTCGTTAAAGAAAGCGAGGCATAACTTTAATTTAAAACCTGACTCGAAGTTTACCCTTAAAAAAACGTATACATCTAATAATAAGATCTCATTTATAAAAGTATAATTAATTGTGAACAGAAGAATTTCTCCATAAGTAACAATATAAAAATATTTTCGGTAGTGTTTAAAAATATATATATATATTTTCACGTTGCTGGTCTAAATTACAAAGATTGCCTAAGGGGCTGATTCTCTTCAAAATATTGAAATCCATTTCTCAATCTCGTAAGTTTACTATGTTGTAAAATCAAAATTAATTTATTATTACAAAGCTAATGTTTAAGTAAATTCATATACAAAGACATACCTATTAACTTGAAGACAATCCAAAATATAATAAAGTTTCCAAGCCGCAATAGTAAAACTATAAAGCTTCACATAAGTAACGTTTTTATCAATATCCCGTTTGAAACACACGTTATTTTGATGATCGAATTCATATTTATACATATCACTGTCTACAAATTCAGGCCATATTAAACTACCAAATTCAGCTCCAAGTTTAATTGGAATAAATAAATTCTCGGTCTTTTCTACGAATGCTATAAAATCAATCTTATTTTTATGTTTACCAAATCTTCTATAATAAAGAGATTTATTTTTATAACCATCCTGTTCTATATAATAAAAGGATTTACTGCTGTAATTAGCATTATTAAATAGAAAAGTAAAAGTCTTAGTTTGATCGTCATATGATGGCAGCAATTCTCTTGACCACTTGGTTTCGTTCCAGTCCGTTAACTAAGTCAAAGCCGATTATTATCGATTGAATTTATTTTAATTATTTGATATTAAAAAGTTGATTTACCTCAAATTTTAAACCAGAGTTTAATCTGGAAGCAACGACTTCTTGTATTACTAGAGGAACGAATGTGTTCCATTTTTTACAAACAGTCCGAAGTGTACAAAAAAACTCGAAACTATTATTAAAATCGGTAAAATTAGAAATTTCGACAAAAATATTCTGTTCGATTAGCTTTAAATAATTATCTTTAAACTTACTCTGTTTTAGCAACAACATTCGTTAAAATTTTAATTTGCAACTCATTGGGAAGAAATTGGATCATGGTGAAACATGGATAGAGTTTTCTGCGTGTTCCGTATTTAAATATAAAAACCATCACATATGTTGCTTCACTGGTAATAATTTCACCGGCAGCCGACATCACATATGGTTAGAGTTAGTATTTAATTAGTTACATGTATATATTTTTGGTAAATTGTCACTTGGTGTGATATCGGCTAAATGAGCTGGAGCCCCTTATAGCTTCTAAATTTGTTACACGTATTATTTGTTTAATGTTATTCGTTTCATCAAACACCAATAGACCGTTAGCATAGTAAACCTATACTTCACATTTTTTTTGAATAGTAAAATTTTACAGTTCATATAAAAACTCATCCATGTATAATACTCAATATGTAAAAAATATCCGGATCAATATTCAAAATGCTCAATGAGGAAATACTTTACCAAATAAAACACAGTAAATTCTCTTTAATAAGTAATAGTCAAGTTAAAGATATATAAGTTGCAATAAAGTGCGTATACATACCTTATACATTAAGATAGATCCAAAAAAAAAAAAAAAAAAGATATATTGGTTTTAGAAAAGACTCAATTAAATGTCAAACCAATAACCTTAATAAAAGACTCACCAAGTGGTATTGAGTTCCACTTATGGTAAATTCTTCAATTAAATATGCCATATTGCAAATCTATTTCACGATTATTTATATATAGCTTCAAATTTCATCTTTTACAACACTCGCCGGTTAAATCAATGTTACTAATTAAATACATAAATAAAATTATTATTAAACTTATCAATTAAGTTAGCGTTAATAAATTAAATAAGAGATATCATAGCAATAATAAATTTATTATAAATGACTTATTTTACATAAATAAATGATCTTATAAAAAAAGAAACGGACTACAGTTCAGAATGGACACGAAAAGAGGAATCACCTTGTTGCTCAATAAAATTTCACATGCCAACCACAGTTTGCAAATATTTAAATTCACGAAATTCATATAGCTAACATTTCGTAAATACGTAAGTTTCAAGACCTGTGTCATTTGCTTAGTAAAAGTGTAACAAAACTGGTCTAATTATTCAAAGATTTCAGATTGATGTGTTGAAAATGGCACATAAGAAAGGACCTTCACATGCTTAATGTATCAGCAGTGATTCATTATTTTGTTATTTAAAAAAATAATAAGCATTTTAAGTTTTAAAATTCAACAAAAACCAGCCCATTTATGATCTTAAATGATTAATGACATAGGATCACTGGTTGAGGCAAATCGGGCACCAATCGGCATCACGTAATCCCGATATTAACTGATTTAATAGGAGACCTTTAAGGTACAAATAGAGTTCATATAGGCGTTCAATACATATCTTAGGTAAATCGAAAAAGCTATAAGGCAAGCTTTATCGATTTACCTATAAAGCTATTGGCATTCCGATATGCATTTAACGCTTATATGAACTCGATTTTATCTTAAAGGTCTCCTATTTGCGCCAAATATCTGTTTCAAATCAGTTTCATAGATTATGTGATGCCGATTGGTGCCCGATTCGACCTGTGGATGTCACATGAATAATTTTTTTTCAGGGGAATAAAATGAAATTGGATAAAACAATACACATAATAGGGGGTTTCAACGTTAACAAATAAGTGACGAATTTCGAAAATAAATAGGATTTTTTCAATAGCATTTTTACTATGCCGAATTATAAATCGGAAAAATAAAATGAGTTT